TTTTGCATATGTTATGCACATGCAAAAGTGTATTTTTTAAAGAAGCTGGAATTATGTGTATCCTTTTTCTGCTGCTCTATTGTAATAAATCAGAAACTTTTTGCAAGAGTTCAACTTAATAATTCAGATTCTGTGCAATGATCTCATAAAACATCAAAGCTTTGGGTCACTTTGGACTGAGTGACGTCATACTGCAGTAGGAAGAAAGTGGTTGTTGCTGTTATAAATAAAACACGTTTTAAATAATTTAAATATATAAAGGTAAAGGTAATCAGYGAATAATAAATACACCAGCAATGTATTTTCAACTTCTAGCGGTGGTGACATTTTGTTGRTATGTTGCTGCTTTTTCTGATAAAGTTGCTACTGTTTCTAGTCCAGAAGGTGTCAGTGTCATCCCAGCATAATTTATTCTGTGAAGCTGGTCCAGCCCCTTCCACAAACATTRCATTTACATCGGCAGAAAGGAGGCGATTCCTTCAAAAGAAAGAAACGTTGCTGTCATGTGTGGACACATTTGCACAAAATATGGTGCATTTGTCTGTTCCAAAACGTTGCCATTTAGGAACAAGAGGCTTTGATTCATAGAAGGTTATGTGAATGGATTTATATTTATATCTAATTTTGATCTAAACCGAGACAATGGGAGCAGGAGGACAAAGTCGAGGAACACGGTCCTGGTGGCTCGCCCTCTGTTTATCCGTGATGTTCTGCTGCATGGATCTGAGTTTCGCTCAAATAAAATATTCCATTCCAGAGGAAGTCAAAGTGGGGTCTGTTGTTGGAAATATTGCCAAGGATTTGGGATTGGACATCAGCACGTTGAAGGAACGGAAATTTCGTATTGTTTCTGGATCTAAAGATGGCCAGTTTGAAGTGAATCAGAACAATGGCGTCTTGTTTGTGCAGAAAAATATCGACAGAGAGCAGGTCTGTGAAAGTGTTTCCCCCTGTCTAATGAACATTAAATTAGTAGCTGAGAACCCCATGGAAATTCATTATATTGGAGTAGAAATCACTGACATAAATGATAATTCACCGAGCTTTCAGGAAGAGGACAAKATTTTAGAAATTTATGAGTCAGCTCTTCCAGGGAGACGTTTTCAGCTGCCAAATGCGCACGATCCAGATGTATCTCTCAATACAGTGCGAGTGTATAAATTAAATCAAAATAATTTTTTTAATTTACAAATACGAGAAAGAGGAGATGAAAAAGTCCCTTTCTTAGTTTTGCAGAAATCTTTGGACCATGAAAAGGACTATGAACATAAATTGATTCTGACAGCTTTAGATGGAGGAAATCCTCCAAGATCAGGGACTCTTAATGTTACAGTTACAGTGTTGGATTCTAATGATAATCATCCCATTTTCACTGAAGATGTGTATTCAGTAATTATACCTGAAAATGTCAAAGCTTATACCAGTGTGACCACAGTTATTGCAAATGATCAGGATGAAGGTTTAAATGGAAAAATAGAATATTTTTTTGGAGGCAAGCTAAACTCAGAAATTTATGAAATATTTACTTTAGACAAATTAAATGGCACAATTACAGTGAAGGGTGACATAGACTTCGAAAAAAATGATGTTTACAGATTAGAAGTCCATGCAACTGATAAAGGACACCCTCCGATGAGCAGTGACTGCAGGGTAATAATTAAAGTGTTGGATGTAAACGACAACAGGCCAGAAATAGAAGTCAC